TTTTTTGGGCTCAATTTCCGCAATGCAGTTTATTCAACGATAAATTGAATGATCAAATTACTCCGAATTATAGAGCTATGACACAATCAAATCCAAACGAGCAAAACGTTGAATTAAATCGTACCAGTCTGTACTGGGGATTATTACTTATTTTTGTACTTGCTGTTTTATTTTCAAATTATTTCTTCAATTAGGATTAATAAAAGAGAATACCTCAAAGCGATAGGCATTCTCTTAGCCCAATCGGAAGGATCTCATATTATAATTATCCATGACTGTTTATGTCTCTAGCATGACCACGTTATGAAGTGTGAGGGGTAAGTGGGATCAATGACCCATACTACTGGAAGGATTCCTCTTTGGATAATAGGTACTCTAACAGGTATTGTTGTAATAGGTTTAATAGGTATTTTCTTTTATGGTTCATATTCTGGATTGGGTTCATCCCTGTAGTAATCGGATCAATTAAGTTCGAGGTATAAAAGAGTCTTCAGAACTCAACGTGATTTGCTTTTAAATCACGTTGAGTTCTGAAGACTCTTTTATTCACAAAATAAAAAAAGTTTTTTTCTATAAATCTCAGTGATTTATTCAGAAGGCCTGGTCTCTATTACCGTATAGATTGATATTTTCATTTGAGTACTTTAAGTACAAAGAATAAAGTGCTAGGCTGCTATAAAAAATATAGATCTTAAGTTCGATCATTTCATTTTATATATTCTATTATTATATATTATATAATTATAATAATAGAATATATAAAATCTTTTTTCTTCATTTTCAAAATGAGGTATAAAAATACGCCTCAAAACTAGAAACCAATACTCTAAATCTTGAACCAATATTATATATACCTCCTCCCCTTACTTTCTCTTTTTTCCTGTATTGATAAAGTAAAAAGAGGAAGACGCAAAATCTATTCTAATTTACTTTAATTTTTACTTTAATTTGAAATAGAAAACTATGAAATAGAGAGTTATGCCAAAAATCTTCTTTAAAATATAAAAGTAAAAATAGACATACTATGATCTATGACCGGAAATTCCCAGCAGTTAGTATAAAATTTGGCAAATATAGTATAATAGTATAAAGATATTAAAGGTTTTTGAGAATTTGACTTTAATTTAATTATATATTATGGATAACACTGAATCGTCTATTATGGATAACACTGAATCGTCTCTTTTTAGATTGCTAATGCTACAAGTCTATAAATTCATTTCGGACAATTGAACTTTTTCAAACTGTTTTTTTTTCAGAACCAAAAATATTTGTGCCACAAGAACAGACGCCAAAAATAACAAAAGTCCTTGGACACGTAATGGATCTTGAAGTACTATTTCCGCGTCTCCCTGACCGAATCCCCCCACATTAGGATTATTCGTTAATGGTTGATCAAATTTGATATCTTCCCCTTCTGAAACAAGAAGTTCTGGTCCAGGAGGGATAATATAGATCACTTGACGACTATCCAATGGATCCGTTATGGTTAGCTCATAACCCCCTTTTTCTTTTCTTATTATTTTGCTAACTCTACCTGTTGCTGTAGCATTATAAACAGTATTGTTACTCTTGCTACCGTCGGGATAAATTTGGCCTCTTCCCCTGTTTCCACCCACATATATAGGATATTTTAAGAAATGAGCATCTTTATTAGTAGCAGGATCGGGAGATAGAATGGGAAAGGTTATTTTACTATATTTCTGACCAGGAACAGGGCCCACCACAACAATATTTTTTTTCGAGGGTCTATAGCTCTGAAAAGACAAATTGCCTATTTTTTCTTTCATCTCGGGAGAAAGCCGATCTGTAGGGGCTAATTCAAAACCATCCGGTAAAATAAGAACAGCCCCCACATTCAACCCCCCTTTTTTACCATTGGAAAGAACTTGTTTAAGTTGCATATCATAAGGAATTTGCACTACTGCTTCAAATACAGTATCTGGAAGTACCGCTTGCGGTACCTCAACCTCCACGGGCTTATTAGCTAAATGGCAATTGGCACATACAATACGGCCAGTTACTTCTCGTGGATTTTCATAACTCTGCTGTGCAAAAATAGGATATGCATTTGAAATGGATGTCAGAGTTATGATATATAACATGATCAATGCGGAAATCAATCGAGTAATCTGTTTATTTATCCAAAGAAAATGATTTCGAGTTTGCATAGTCGAATCGTTGATTGCAAAATTGATACAATAAAATGGGGTAGGTCACTAGTATAGTTTGCTACCCAGGATTCTGCTATTTGATGGAATAAAATATAAAAAAAATAGTTCTATAAAATAAGTAATGAAGTAATATTTTTAATGCTTCGCTTATTTACAATAGAAAAACAGAAAAAAATTAATCTTCAAATTGAATTATGAATCCCATAGAGTCTTCAATCATTCATTCAATGAATGATAAAGAACTACAAGTGACGGAGAAACACGATTTAAATAACGGAAAACCCAATATTTAAAAATTGTATCTAGAATGACTGGAAAGGTGCAAACAAGACCAGAGATAATTAAATCATTATCACAAAATCCCAAATCTTTAGAAATAAAGGTAATTATAAATTCCCAACCGCGGGGTGAATGGAATCCGATACATAAATCAGTTAATAAGAGAATGCAAAATACTTTGATTGTGTCGCTTAAGTTATATAAGAATTCCCGAGCCCAAGAGTTCAGAAGACTTAGGTTTTCATTACGCAAAATAGCAGAAACACTTAGAATAAAAAAACAGATTAGATTTGTCGCTAAACGAAAAATAAGATGGATATCACTATATTTTTGTATCTTTATTAATTGAATTGCTTGTTTATGGATTCCTATAATAAATTCTTGTGGGTGTGTCTCCACGTCTTTTTTAACTATTTCGTCCAATAATAGAAATTCCTCGAATTCAATAAATTTTTCCAGAAGACTCTTTTCATTAATATTATTGAAGAAACTTTCGGATTGCCTAGTAGTCCACCAATTAGTAATCCAAGATCCCAGACATTTATTCAATAAGAAATAAATCCACCAGGGCAAAAAGACTACAAATGCAAGATATAAAAGAGGAGTGAATACTTTATTTTTATTTTTCATGAACCCACCATATATGAGTTTTTACTTTTACAAGGTATAAGGTATATTAAAGTATGTATTGATTTTTGTTGTGATTTTTTGGCCAGTCTTTGAATCTAGAAAGAATACAGATGAAATTCAGATATCCGATACAAATCTTTCAATTAAAATAAAAAGAAAAAAATTACTGAATGTTTAGATATTTAAATATTTAGAATGAAATAGTAAGCAATAGAATACTTAAACTTCCTAGGGGATTTGCTTGTGCTAATAAAAAACTGCCTGGTCAATTGGCTAATTAGTATTCCTGAGTCTTAGTAAAAAATGCAATTGGAAAAATAAATAGAAAATATATAAAAATAGAAAAAAAGTAACTGAAAAGAGGTGTAGCCCCCTTCTCAAAATACTTCAATCGGTACACGCAAAAAATAGGCCAATTCTGAAGCTTTTTTTTCAATTTCTCCCGGGGTGAAATTCTCATTAGTACGAGTCAAAGGAATAGCCCTCTGGCCTCGGATGTCCATATAAAGGACACGACGAGCATAAATACCTTCTTTCACTTCTATTCGAATAGACCTTATATCTTTTATATTGAATCGGAGGAAAATGCGCCGATTTATTCCAGGGAATCCCCAACGAAAAATACAAAAAATTCCCCTTTTTCTATCGAATTGATCATAACCACTACCAACATTCCATAAAATAGTACACCACAAATACGAGCTAATAAAAAGACCCGCAATTCCGTAGAATGACATGACTATTCCTTGTGGGAAAAAAAGAATTTGCTGGGCTGAAAAAAAGGATATCCAATTTATACCAAGATAACTGGAAGTTCCTACTAATAAGAATCCCAATGAACCTAAAAAAAGAGTAAAAGCCCAACCTAAATTACTTATTTTTCTAGACCCAGGTCTAAGTTCGATCCATATATGTTTTGATTGCCAACTCATATTACATCCGATTTTATTTTATTTTATTGGAATTAAGAAAAAAACCATTAATTAGGAACTTTGCTATTTCAAAAGTAATTCTCATCAAACGAATATTTGTTTGATGAGAATCTAGCACTAGTTTGATGTAAACCTTTAGGGGTAATTCATAAACTTGGTTAGATAGAAAAAAATAACGCCTTAAGTCAATATGATTCCACAGATCTTCCTGTTATGATACAAAAAAAAGCAACTTACAAAAAAGGGAGGATCTCAATATATAAAATATCTAAAAATTTTTATTTTTCTTGAACAGTAATAAATAAATAAAACGTTGCAATTGCCGGCAATACTAAGCCTACTAATGGTATAAAAAGAGACGGAAAGTCACTCATAGAAAAGGTATTTTTTTTACTATATTTATTTGTATCTGTGAGTTTTTATCTAACTATTTATATCAATCTAAAATCAATATAATTATTTTCTTTCACTCAAAGTTCAAATGAATTTGAACTTTGAATGAAAGAAAGTGCCCCGGTCATGAAACGTAAATAACTCACTAATAACGCTTTTTAGAAGATGACGTGGTACAATTAAGTCAAATGAACCCTTCTCAAATAAAAATTCAGCTTCTTGTGCCTCGTCAGGTATGGTTTGATTTAATGTTTGTTCAATTACTCTTTTGCCTGCAAATGCAATGTAAGCATTAGGTTCAACAATGATAATATCCCCTAACATACCGAAACTCGCTGTTACTCCACCAGCTGTAGGAGATGTAAGGATTGATATATAAAATAATCTTTTCTTCGATTGATAATTGTATAAAGCAGATGATATTTTAGCCATTTGCATCAAACTTAAACTTCCTTCTTGCATTCGCGCACCCCCGGACGCCGACACTATAATCAGAGGCAAAAAATTTTCTGTAGCGTACTCAATTAAACGGGTTATTTTCTCTCCGACTACGGATCCCATACTACCCCCCATAAACTTAAAATCCATAACCCCTATTGCTACAGTAATACCGTTGACTTGGCCTAGACCTGTTTGAACAGCTTCGGTTAAGCCTGTTTCTATTTGATAAAAATCAAGATCCTCTTCATAAGAGTTTTCATAATTAGAAAATACTTGATAAAAGTATTTAGAAGGGTCTTTATAAGGGTATTCCGACGATTCTTCAGAAGAGTCTTCTGAAAAGTCTTCATAAGGGTATTCCAACGATTCTTCAGAAGAGTCTTCTGAAAAGTCTTCATAAGGGTATTCCGATGATTCTTCAGAAGAGTCTTCATCAAATTGAATGGTGGTCCCGAGAAAGAATGTCTTCATCGAAAGGAGCCCACGTTTTCTCATCGATCAAAAAATCAATTCTATCTGAACTACTCAGTTGCAAATAATCTCCACATTCTTCACAAATATACTGTTTTAATTTAATAAGTTTTTTATAATATAATGTATCACAATTTTCGCATAGAAGCCACAAATGGTTAAATTTAGGATATTCTCTCCCAATGTGAGTTTGTCTACTTGAACTCTCGACTTCGCTCCTATTGCAGCTTTCACCATCAACAACGGACTCATTACTGAAACTGTCAGTACTATCATTTTCATTAGTAGTGATAGTAGTTCGCTCTATTTGCAACTTAATAGAATTTTCAACGGACTGAGCAATCTCAATCTGAGAGTTAGATTCGTTACTCACTTCATTCATTTGAGTGAGATTGCTTGAATTCGAAGAAAGATAAAAAGGTTCACTAAAGAAAGAGTGAGGATTTTTTGTTTCAAAAATATAATTTTCAATATTAAAATAGATGCAATAATTATTTCCAGTACTATCGCTAACTAGAAAAGTGTCATCTTTGATGACACTTTCACTATAGTTTAACTCGAAGACAGAATCAACATTACTGCAACCGTAATTGTCACGATCCTCCCAAGTCTGAATGTTTTCAAACATATCTTGCTTCTTCGTATCTTCATTTTGCCTGCTATTTTCTTCAATAGGACGGCTAACACCATCCATTGATTGAGTTAGCCCCCATCCACGTTCAAATTTCTTATCCAATGAATTATCCCCCCACATTTCCATAATTTTTGCCCCTTGTTTTTTGCATGAAAATACAATGCATGAAAATACAATAGAAAATAAAATAGCAATACATGGAATAGTCGTTTGATATAAAATATTCCTAAACTCAAAATAAAAAAACACAAGTTCTTTTTGAACAACTATCAGAATAAAAAGAGAAACCCAAGCATTAAGGCTATTGCCTAAAATAATGGGTATGAGTATCCAAAAATGGAATTGCCTTTTATATAACTCTACCCCAATTACCAAATTTAACTATTTGTTCTTGCCTACCTATACCCAAATATAAATAAGAAGTTCATTAATATGTATAGATATCCGGCTCAATCTGTTTACTTTTTTTAGTATTTGAGTGATTTTAGTAAAAGATTGGGCCGAATTTAATTGCAATTCAGAAGAGAAGGGGGTTAGTAATTGCTTGAATTCCCTCTACCCATTCCCGAATAAGTTATCTGTATTTATCTCCTGCAGGAGCCTCCTTAGTATATCTTTCTTTCTTCTCATTTGGATCTAAGGTATCCACTGGTTTAAAGTCAAATTGAATCTCCTTCCATACCTCACAAGCAGCAGCTAGTTCAGGGCTCCATTTACTAGCCTGTCGAAGAATTTCATTGCCTTCCTGAGCAAGATCATGTCCTTCGTTACGAGCTTGTACACATGCTTCGAGAGCGACTCGATTCGCTACGGCACCAGGCGCATTACCCCAAGGGTGACCTAAAGTTCCTCCCCCAAACTGTAGTACGGAATCATCCCCAAATATCTCGGTTAGAGCAGGCATATGCCAAACGTGAATACCCCCAGAAGCCACAGGCATAACACCGGGTAAAGAAACCCAATCTTGAGTGAAATAAATACCACGACTTCGGTCTTGTTCAACAAAATCATCGCGTAATAAGTCAACAAAGCCCAAAGTCATCTCTCTTTCCCCTTCTAGTTTACCTACTACAGTACCCGCGTGAATATGATCTCCACCGGATAGCCGTAACGCTTTCGCTAGTACGCGGAAGTGTATACCATGAGTTTTTTGTCTATCAATAACTGCATGCATTGCACGGTGGATGTGAAGAAGGAGACCATTATCACGGCAATAATGAGCCAAAGAAGTATTTGCAGTGAATCCCCCTGTTAAGTAGTCATGCATTATAATAGGAACTCCCAATTCTTTAGCAAAGAAAGCTCTTTTTAGCATTTCTTCGCATGTACCTGCAGTAGCATTCAAGTAATGTCCTTTTATTTCACCTGTCTCAGCCTGGGATTTATAAATTGCTTCGGCACAAAATAAGAAACGGTCTCTCCAACGCATAAAGGGTTGTGAGTTTACATTCTCATCATCTTTGGTAAAATCAAGTCCACCACGAAGACATTCATAAACCGCTCGACCGTAGTTTTTAGCGGATAACCCCAATTTGGGTTTAATAGTACATCCCAGGAGAGGACGCCCATACTTGTTCAATTTATCTCTCTCAACTTGGATGCCGTGAGGCGGACCTTGAAAAGTTTTAGTATAAGCTGGAGGTATTCGAAGATCTTCGAGACGTAAAGCGCGGAGTGCTTTAAAACCAAATACATTACCTACAATCGAAGTAAACATGTTCGTAACAGAACCTTCTTCAAAAAGGTCTAAAGGGTAAGCTACATAAGCAATATATTGATCTTTTTCTCCAATAACACGCTCAATGCGATAGCATCGGCCCTTGTACCGATCAAGGCTGGTAAGTCCATCGGTCCACACGGTTGTCCATGTTCCAGTAGAAGATTCCGCAGCTACCGCGGCCCCCGCTTCTTCAGGGGGAACTCCAGGCTGAGGAGTGACTCGAAATGCTGCCAAGATATCAGTATCTTTGGTTTCGTAATGAGGAGTATAATAAGTCAATTTGTAATCTTTAACACCCGCTTTGAATCCAACACGTGCTTTAGTCTCTGTTTGTGGTGACATATATTCCTCCTTATAACTCATAAATTAATAATTCTGACAACAAAATGATCTACTCGACCTAAATTCTGCGTTAATTTTGCTTTTGGTCGGAATCGTTCACAAAATTCCTCCCGAGTACTCAATATTATCTATTATCAACTAAATCATAATTTTTTATTTTTAAACTCAAAGCATTTGAGTAATTTTTCAAATGCATCAATATTTTATACTCTTTTGTATATCTAGTGCAACCCAGTTTTTCAATTTCACTTTTTTTACACTACCTCTCTAACCTAATAAAAAAATCAAAAAAACTAATGGGATAGAAATAACAAATTCTAATGAAATACTTTTGAAATACTTTCCCAATATTTTTATTCCTCCACTTTAAAATAATTTAACTATTTCAGTTCCTTAATTCAACAAAAATTAAATTTATTAAATTTTAATTTATTGGATACTGGATAATATAAAAAAATACCAAGAAAATCCCCCCTTTTTTCTTATTACATTTATTGAATTAATCTTCCGCTTGCGGGCAGTGATTTGTAATTTGAAAAGTTTTTTAAATTTTTTTTTTATGGGAAGCACTCCTACGACTTCTGGTTCTGAGGTTTCCTCAATTGAAAAAAAAAATATAGGGCATATCGTCCAAATAATTGGTCCGGTACTAGATGTAGCTTTTCGCCCTGGTAAGATGCCTTATATTTATAATGCTCTAGTAGTTCAAGGGCGAGACAGTAAACAAACGAACGTGACTTGTGAGGTTCAACAATTATTGGGAAATAATAGAGTTCGAGCTGTAGCTATGAGTGATACAGATGGTCTAATGAGAGGGATGGAAGTGATTGATACGGGAGCTCCTATAAGTGTCCCGGTCGGTGGATCAACTCTGGGACGAATTTTCAACGTGCTCGGACACCCTGTTGATAATTTAGGGCCTGTCAATACTAATAAAAAATCTCCTATTCATAGATCTGCGCCCGCCTTTATAGAGTTAGATACAAAATTATCTATTTTTGAAACAGGAATTAAAGTAGTAGATCTTTTAGCCCCCTATCGCTGTGGAGGAAAAATAGGACTCTTCGGGGGAGCTGGAGTGGGTAAAACAGTACTCATTATGGAATTAATTAACAATATTGCCAAAGCGCACGGAGGAGTATCCGTATTTGGCGGAGTGGGTGAACGTACTCGCGAAGGAAATGATCTTTACGTGGAAATGAAAGAATCCGGAGTAATTAATGACCAAAATATTGCAGAATCCAAAGTGGCCCTAGTTTACGGTCAGATGAATGAACCACCAGGAGCTCGTATGAGAGTTGGTTTGACTGCCCTAACTATGGCGGAATATTTCCGAGATGTTAATGGGCAAGATGTACTTCTATTTATTGACAATATATTTCGTTTCGTCCAAGCGGGATCAGAAGTATCCGCCTTACTGGGCAGAATGCCTTCTGCTGTAGGTTATCAACCGACCTTGAGTACAGAAATGGGTTCTTTACAAGAAAGAATTACTTCCACCAAAGAGGGTTCCATAACCTCGATCCAAGCAGTTTATGTACCTGCAGATGATTTGACTGATCCTGCTCCTGCTACGACATTTGCACATTTAGATGCAACTACCGTACTCTCAAGAGGTTTAGCTGCTAAAGGTATCTATCCAGCAGTTGATCCTTTGGATTCAACGTCAATGATGCTGCAACCTCGGATCATTGGTGAGGAACATTATGAAACTGCGCAAAGAGTCAAGCAAACTTTACAACGTTATAAAGAACTTCAGGACATTATAGCTATCCTTGGGCTCGACGAATTATCCGAAGAAGATCGTTTAAACGTGGCAAGAGCACGAAAAATTGAGCGTTTCTTATCACAACCTTTTTTCGTAGCAGAAATATTTACAGGTTCTCCAGGTAAATATGTAGGTCTCGCTGAAACGATTAGAGGATTTCATTTAATCCTTGCTGGCGAATTAGATGGTCTTCCTGAACAGGCTTTTTATTTGGTAGGGAATATCAATGAAGTTACCGCCAAGGCAATTAACTTAAAAACTTAGAAATTTAAAAATAGGGAAGGATTTGAATAAATGAATTTAAAACTTTGTGTACTGACCCCTAATAGAATTGTTTGGGATTCAGAAGTGGAAGAAATCATTTTATCCACTAATAGTGGGCAAATTGGAATATTACCCAATCACACACCTATTGCCACAGCTGTAGATATAGGTATTTTGAAAATACGCCTTAACGGCCAATGGTTAACGACGGCACTGATGGGGGGGTTTGCTCGAATAGTGAATAATGAAATCACTGTTTTGGTAAATGATGCTGAAAAAGGTAGTGAGATTGATCCCCAAGAAGCCGAGCAAACTCTTAAAATAGCAAAAGAGATTTTAAAAAAAGCTGGAGGAAAGAGACAAAAAATTGAGGCAAAT